GGACGTTTCCGTAAGCACCTGATTTCCAAAATATCCTAAAACAGACAAAATAAGCTTAATAGATTTGCAGAAGCTTAAACTATATATAAGACGAAGGACATTAGCTACCCGTTATCTAGATACTTGCAGTTACAACCAAAAGACAACTAATAATTTACAATCCATAGTTGTATTCGACTAACTATATAATACCAAAAGAGTTGTGCTATTGGAAGCACCAAAAGCAAAGATCTCAATCTACCCGAGCTTGTTCTTTGCCTTATCTACACGGCCTGTAAAAATGTGAACAACTAAAAGGGTAAGCACAAAATGCTTAGTGAGTAAACAGGAACTACTAATTACTAAAGCTTCACAAATGTAATCCATGGAAGTCAATGATCACGAAGGATGTAAATCATGTAATAAGTAATCATCATTCGAGAATCATACATCTGAATATCAAAGTATGCAACTAGATCGTGTGAAAGTCAATAATTGATATGTACTGCCACCGAGCTATCCCGATCGTGGCAAACACAACAATATATATCATAGATTTCATACCACCCGAGCTATCCCGGCCAGTGGAATGATCTTCCCACCCGAGCTATCCCGGATAGTGGGGAACATGACCGGACTCTAACACGGTCAAATATGCACCATACCCGAGTAATCTCAGCTGATATGGGCTTAAGTGTGCCTCCCCGGGTGAAACACAAAGTAACCACCGAGTAGCACGTATGGAAGGACGGAGTGCAATAGCCAATAATCTCTTGAAATTGATAAGGAGACATAACATGGATGAGTGTGGAAGCAAGTAACAAATAGATAACATATGTCCAGCAAATAGCAAGTTAAGTAGCCCCATAAACTCACAGTGCTTTTCGATACTCAAAAATCGAGCCAACTTAGGCTCTACGTCCATATATGTCTAAACATCGTCCAACGGTCACTCTGGAAGGACCAAGTGAGCTTATTTAACACCTGTAATATGTACCCAAAGTTTCATAAAGATCCGACAACAAAAATTTAACCAAACTTAATTTAAACTCATTTTAGGCACTATAATTCACAGCTCAAAATCAACTTTTTATTAGTTTTTAGACGCAATAATAACTAACCTAGAAGCCTTATTTCTAAAAAGTGTCTAAAGGACAGATTTAGATCTACATATAATCTTTCTAAAGTGTCCAGAATCGTAGCAATCCGAGCTACGGTTAAGAAGTTATCGCATATTCAAAACAGCATCTCGGATAGATTCGGTGCTGTCAAATTCACCAACTAAATAGGCTAAAATCCATATGTTGGATTCAATCTTTATTTCAACAATCAAAGTACCATCTAACCATGTTTATATTATTGATTACAAGATCAATACTCAAGAATTTCACCAAAATAGCCATTAATGAAGAAAATCAAAGTTCAACTTATGTTCTTCATTTTCGAAAGCTCCAAATCATCAATCAAGAATAATAACAACTTAGTTAGGCCATAACCAATCTAAATACAACATATTACTAATATAACTCAGATTAGGTTTCATTGATTTCATCTCTAACTAGCTTCAAATCAAGAGATTAACCAATAAAATAGTTATACCTTAATTGGAGGATGAATTTGGCATAAAAATCAAGCAAAAACCCCTTGAAACAACCTTGATTCACCCCCTATGAAGCCAAAATCGCCCCTGGTAGTAAGTTTTGGAGATGAGAGTCTGTTTTGGKTGAAAAAGAAGGTAAATAACATGTATATCCGACTTTTACGAGTTGGGGCTGAGTTGACTCGGCTGAAAACTCGGTTTGACCACTAATCACTAAAAATCGCATAACTTTTCGCTCGGACCTCCGTTTTTTACGTGGTTTTCGCTTACGCTTTTGTAAAGAGATAATATACAACTTACAATAAAAATATTTCAAAAAATATCTTCCAATAAAAGTCAGTTTTTATATATCCGTAACGTAGATATTGATGCTTTTGACCCGTTTCTTTCCAATTGTTTTACCCCGGGCCTCGTACGATGATTCCGACTATTTCATATATAGTTTATTGCATTCGGGTTTGCTTCAAAATTTTACGTTTTGATCACATAAACACGTATAAAGGGGATAATTGCAACGTATTTGCGAAAGTGTATGTTACACCCAAAGAATTATAGCCAAAAGAAGTCCCGGCCCATATATGGTTTTCTATCCCTCTAACCCTAGCCGCTAAGGGAAATAGAAATGGAACAACAGTCGATGCCGGAAAAACGACGCCGGCCATTATGGCCACCGGCCACTTGCGCCACGACCGTCTTTTTCTTCTCTCGACTCTATTTTCTCTCGCTCGACCTTGAACGGAACTCAAAACCGCCGGCCGCTGGCCATCATGGTAGCGACACGGGAAGCGGGGCTTACCTCCTCTCTCGTCTATTTTTTTACGTCGTTCAGATCACGGTTAAGCCCGGTCAACCACCTATGGTGGTGACCAACGATGACCCGAAAAAAAAAAAACCTTCCTTGTCTTCCTCTTCTCTCGGCAACCATAGGCCACCGAGCCCCACCAACGTTGATGGTTTAAGGGGTGGGATGGGAACAACGTCAGTCGCGGTCCACAGACCTGTGGCGGCGGTTCTTCGAGGTATGGCAAAAAAGGTTTTTATTCCCTTTCCCTACTCTTGGCTCCACCATGAAAAGGCAACAGCCACTTTAATGGGCCAGAACTCGCCTTGCAACGGCGGGGACAAGATTGGGTGACCTAAACTTTGGGCAGAAACTGATTTCTTCAAAATCCTTTCAAAAATAAATCATGTTTAATGACATTCTGTTTTAACTACTTCCGATTAATCGGAATAATTGTCAAAGTGGCTTTGATACCACTCTTGGGTTTTAGTTTACGAAAATAACCGGATAAAACGCAGCGGAAAAAACAGAACCCGATTACAAAAACGTTTAGAATTTTTTTTTAAATAAAACCCTAAGCCGGATCCTTTGACAACTACACAAACCATAGGGTGTTTAAAATATTTACCTTGTGGTTGAAATTGAAACTTTGATGTAGCACTAAAAAACCAAATCAGGTTTCCTCTATCGATTGTCCACACACGAACATGCTTGGAACTCCCATTGGGTGCTAGCCCAAAGAATCCTAATTCTATAATTGTATCGTAAGGGTTTTGAGGCTACAACTAGTTATCAGAACTCAATCCCCTACTTTGGTTTAACCCCTAAACCTTATTTATATGGCCAGTCTTCGAGATTGACCATAACTCTTAATTAGGCTTAATCATTATCTAAAATGATTATTTATTTATTTAATAATGTCTTATATAATTATCTAAAAACGTTTAAGATAATTACATACATATTTATAAATTAAACCCTGTAATTATAATAATCACAAAAATAGTACACATGTTTAGATTCTTTCTTTAGTGGAAGCATACGTGTTCTTTGTGTGCAACCCTTTAGGTTTACGTGGCTCGTTGGCAGTGTATCTGGGTGATACGTGTCGTGGGTATAACATACAACTTACAGTGTCGTATCCATAAATCAAATGATGCAACACCTTCCAAAATGATTGTCGGTTTTCCACTTCTTCCGGCTTATTTTCTAGCCCATGCGCTCGGATAATTTATCCATTTCCAATGCATATAGTCAATACTATCTACTATACCCGAGAATCCACGTTGATCCCCAACATAGAGTTGTCTTGCCAAATCATCTTTGGTAGGCTTTCTGAGGTGCTGGTCACCACAACATGAGATGACACCATTACGAAGTTGATGAGAGCTTCCTTTGTTGTAGATCCACTCCTTCTCAAATATTCGTCAACTGCATACTGATGTCTCATACGCCAACACCCTTGTTAGGATTCAAGCGCTTACCATTATGCCAAAAACAATTGCTGATGGAGAATGCGCAACTTATTTTCTTATAGCGTCAGTCAGCGCCACGTTCTGATTTAGGAAGATGTTGGTCAATGACGCAACAATCCCCCCCCCCCCCTTCAGCATCTACCAGCACTGACAAGATCTTCGCTAGAAGACAATGACTGCACAACATGCCTTTGGCATTCTTATGCACCTCATGAGATTCAAACCCATGACCTGCTCTGATACCACATGTTAGGATCCAAACGCTTACCAATACACCAAAATCAGTTGCTGATGGTGAATGCACAACTTATTTTCTTAGAGCATAGTAGTCAGTGTCACGTTTCGATTTAGGAAGATGTTGGTCAATGACCCAACAACCCTCATGGCTCCAGTACATTTTTGCAATGGTGAAAGACTTTGTCTAACCGCGACATCAGGTCTTCATTGAAAATATCTGTCATTAGTCGTAACAACATGTACTGTACGATGGAATAAAGGTCTTCTCATTCAAAATCTTCTCTGGAAGATAACATCATCATACGTCAGATTATCGACAAAACAGTCTTCCATCAAACATGCTTCACCCATCTGACGTTCCCTATCAATATACCTTCTTCTTACAGTGGGAGGTTGATCTCCTAAGAACATATTGGATGAGTTTATAACCCTATCCTCAACGATGTGATCAAATATTAAGAATAGAACTTAAAGGATTTTACAACTTTTTTTAACCATGGACCTGTAGTGCATGTAAATCCAAGAAACTGTAAATAAAGTAATCAAGTAAATATGTAACAGTATAAAATCTAAAGTTAAAACTTAGAAGCGTAAAAAACACATAAAAAAATTAAAAACGAAATTGAAAGAAGTTACGCCATGTAGTCACACATAGCATGACCCTTACACAAACACCATAAGGCATTTCATAACAATAGAGACACATCTTATGTCATGACAAACCATCACAAGAAGAATTACCACATTAAACAACGAAAAAATCTTGAAGATCCCATATCCCTGTCGAATTGTCCCAACAGTAAGAAAGAATAATTCCCAGACCAAGATCTCAGTTCCAAATCCGGCCCCACTCGGCTTAAAAACGAGAGTTGTAGAAACTCAAAAGCATGTATCTACGCCCTAGGCTTCAATGGGACAATAAAGGTAAAGCACAAGCGTGTGACCAAAATTCTATTGTTTCAAAAGAGGAATAATATATTATTTGCTTAATTAATTTACTTACATACACTAGAAACATGCATAACTATATATATAATCACATATTCCACTTGAGAAAGCAAAATGGCCATTCCATCTTCATCCATCCATCAATCACCAACCTCATTAGCCTCGACTGGTTCAAATATTCCTTTTCATGGCTTCCATGGAGCTGGTGGAGGTGGTGGAGTTGGGAACATTGGAGGCACTGCTGAAAAAATCGTATTCTTATCAACCTTATTTGTTGTTCGATCACCAGAAAGCGCCACCAGGGCTGCAACCAAACCAGCATTTCCAGCAATCGTTGGTTCCGTGTAATTGTAGTTTGTTCGCACATCATGGAATCCATCATTCCTGTCTGGCCCGGCAACCATAGCTCCGGTTATCGTGTTGGGATTCGGCTTTTTTGAGTCTCTCCATTTGTATCCTCCTTTACAGTTGTATTTGATCTTATTCTTAGGAATCGACGCTCCTCTGTGGTGAACGTGTTTCGGGAAGTGATTCCCGAAACCCACAAGATAGCTCATCTTCCTTGGGTTCTTGCCAAGAATATAGTTAATCTGTGGAACAACAAGTATCCGATTTTTAACTAGCCAAGTTATAAAATTTACAAAGAACAAAAAATAAACTGTTGAAATCGATCATGAAATATGGTAAAGAAAGGGGCTATTTTGCTAAATAAAAAAAAGTTTTAATAGGTAATGCTCCTAATCGGAAACTAGAGTGTAGCATACCTGAGTCTCGGCAAATTTGCGTAGCACATCTGACGAGTAGAAATTGGGCCCGCAATACCATCCAGGAGTGTCAGCAGCATCGAGATAGTCACTGAAGAGGGTCGCTAGAAAGGCGGCATTAACAACGTACTGAAGAGGCTGAGGTCTCCCGTGATTTAATTGGATCAATCCTCCTGCAAAAAATACTTAACGTTATATGGTTTTAAGGTCACCTCAGAAGAAGTGAAAGGGGTTCGTCCATTTACTACCTCTCGTTCTGTTAAAACTTGTGAAGTATGGCAAGTACGAACACATGATTATGCTCGTCTGGTTATGAAACGTCTTCAATGTTTGTTCATATGGATAACCGGGACTCAGAAATAATCTCAATCGAGTCAGTAGCACCTACAAAACGGAACAATAACTAAGCAATGACCATGCATAAACTTTCATAAAGAGATTATGGCCTCCTTTTGGCTGAAAAGCCACCTTCCCGGCTAATAAGCAAGCAGCTAAACTAGTCATGATTGGTAAAAACTAGCTCATAATGTAAAATGATCTAAAATAACATGTTGAAAAATGACTCAATATAAGGTCATAATTGAAGAAAAGAAAAGTTTAACTCATAAACTAGCCACGTTTAGTAAAAATTAGCTCATAAACTACGTACAATGTAAAATGACCTAAAAGAACAAACTTAAAAAATTATTTAATTCTAACATGAGGGGCATAATTGGATGAAAAGACCTATTGAAAAATTGTCTGAATTAGCTTTTCGGAAGACTAGCTTATTGCTTACCAAACAAGGGCTTTTTCAATAAGCTCAAATATGTCAAACAGGGGCTATAAACTTACTTGAGCTCCAGTGAGCTTGTTGTCCCAGCTAAGAACCCCATAGTCGGGTCCTCCCCAAAAGGCACCGGCATGCTTGGCTAGTGTTGGGTGGCTAGCAAGGTAAAGATACGACTGATTGCCGGTTGCATAATACAACCAAGCTCCTCCCCACACAAACTCGTCCCAATACATGCTCGAATTGTAGAAAGTTGCAGCTTCAGCTCCACCAGCACTATACAAACCACGCTGGTTCCTAGCAAACTTCCAAAGAGTTTCAGCGCCATGAACCAGTTTCTTCGAGTAGTCCTTGTTGTCCTTGAAAACAATGGAGGCAGAAGCTAAAGCGGCCGCCATCTCAGCCGCTAGGTCTGAGCAAGTAGAGCATACAGTCACAGGTCGTTCGTAATCTATGTCTTCTGGTCTCATCCAACAAAAATGATCATTAGGATCACTTATACCCCCTGATGTATCACCTTTTCCAACCTGTTAAAACCACAAAACTTCTTTAGAATTTACACTTCCCAATTGATATATGGGTTTCAAGTTTTTAGAATGGTGTCCAAACCCCACACACACACATACAGAGGAAGGTTCAAACGAGAACGCCAACTATTTAAGAAAGCAAGAAAAAGGTCGTTAACATAGAAAATCACATGTGATTTTACATTAACGTCAAAAACTGGAAGCGCACAACTTTTGAACCTGTATGATTCTGTACGTGAATATATATATATATATATGTGTGTGTGTGTGTGAATCATGTATGATTTTGTACGTGAATATATACATGTATGTGTGTGCGCGTGTGTTTGAATCATGTATGATTTTGTTCGTAAATTATATATACTACTTCAATAATTAGCGTTCTCGTTTGAACCTGCCCCTATATATATATACATACACATATACACCAATCTTGACAACATGGCAATGTGAGACGAATACTTCAATAGCCTCCCTCTGTAGGCTAGGGTCCAAACAAACAAATGCAATTCCCACATCGCCTACAAAAGCCCGTTTTGATACCATGAAAAATGGGAACACAAATCACTTGTCCCCAAATTCCATGTCCCCTCTCACTCCAATCAATGACCGACACATCTTACTTTCATGAAGAGAGAAATAAATGGATGAACTAGATATACTAATGATGTGTCAAGAACTGATTGGTGTACGGAAAGGAGACATGAAGTTTGGAGACAGGTGATTTGTATTTGATAAATGGGCTCGGGTAGACCTCACTCTCAAAAGCTAGCTTGAAAGAGGAGGATGCCTAAGCCATATATATATATAGGGGCCTAATCAAATGAGAACTAATTAGTTTGTGGTAACTGTGAGAACCAATATTAACCACAAATCAATAGATAAATTAGGAAATTTATAATTTTGGCAATTTTGAATTAAAATATTAATGCAAGGATATTTTTGGTATTTTAAAACTTTCCTCCCTCCTTTCTTCTCTCTCCGGCCACCGTCC